TGGGGGGGGGTCCGAGAGCGATGGTGTGGGGGGTGTATGGGACACTGCTGGTGTCCTGGGCTGGAGGAAGGTGCTAACTGGCCTCTGGGTTGCAGCCAGCCGTCCCTGTGGCCAGCCGGCCAGCAGCAGCCCCGTGGTGCAGCCCCAGCAGCCCCCGGCCCCTGCAGCGGCGGGGGAAGAGGCGCCGAGACCCTCCTACGTGGGTAAGGGGACGCTGCAGCCACCCGGCGCGGTCCTGGCACGTGAATATAACCATATGGTGTTGCACTGGTGCAACACTCTCCTCTTTAACCGCCTGGGAAGACCCTCACCTGGCCTTGACCTTGACCTGGTGGAAGAGGGAGCAGGCGGTCGGGCGAAGGGCTGGAGCAGCAGCCACTCACATTTCCAGTTGCCTCCCAGTTGCTTCCCAGTTGCCTCCTCTGGCCTTTCCCTGCCCAGTAACTGCCGGGCAGGGGGCTGAAGAGGGGAGGGAGCACACTGATGTTGTCGGATTTTCAATTTTCACTCTCCAGCGTGTTTGTTTTTTCTCCCGGTTTATTTTTTTTCCCTTAACCCCCCCAAGCCACAGTGGAGGTGGTAACGTTTCCTGTTTTTAAGGGAGCAGCGACACGTCTTCAGAGACCTCGGAGGACTCAGCCAGCAGCCCCTCCTGCCCCCAGGTACGGCCGTGGGCAGGGAGCCTTTGCCAAGAGCAACCGCAGCCGCAGGGGTGCTGGCGCCATGTGGGTCCTGTCCGGCTTGAGACCCACAGAGCATCAACGGGGTGGGAAAAAAGGATCAAACCATATTGAAATACCAGCAGTGAGGCTGGGGGTGGGGGTTACCCATCATGTACAACGATCCCCATTTAGCGGGAAGCATCCCCGGGGGCTGGGGACATCCCTGGGCACAACAACGGCTGCACTTTGCCTTCGTGTGGGTTCAAGGGCAAAGCTGCCCCGGGTGGATGCTGGTGCCTGACCTGGGGGTTGTGTCCGCTCCTGCAGGGCCCTCGCTCCAAAGAAAACCTCAATTACACGTCCTTGGTCTTCCCGGGGAAAGGCCGCGGGCTGGGATCTGCCAGGGACTACGAGAACGTGAAAACCAGGGCGGACTACGTCAACGTGGACCCAAAGAAAAAGAAAGTGGATTTCTGGCCCTGTTCCAGCCCCACAGCATCCAAGTCGGTCGAGTACACCGAGATGAAGCTGTGACCCCCAGGACGCTGCTGCGGGGTGCCAGGTCAGCCGGGGTGATGCCCCAAGTCCCCGGCAGCAGCGTGAGCCGAGCTTCCCCCTCGCCTCGGGCAGCGCCTGGCACGGGCTGGCGCCTGCCAGCTTTTATTCCTTGTAACACTCTAACCGGCCAATACAATTTGCTTGGTATTTTACTTAAATGCATCACTGTTCCTGAAGGCTGCTGAGCGTGGGATGGCGCAGGGTAGTTCCTCCTACCCGGGCTGAAATGTGCTCTCCACTTTTCTGTGCTGGCCCTTTTTTCTCATCTCTTGAAAGCAAATGAAACATCCCCCCCTGCCTCTCGAAGTGGGATGTAGTTCTGGGAGGGAAATGCAGGAGTCTTCAAAATATCCACCCAACCTGGCTGGCACCTCTTCTGAATGATGCTTTGTTTGCTGATCACTGACATAAAATACTTTTAAACACAGTTCTTCCACCAGCTTTGCCCTCTCTGCCCAACAAGCCCGGATTCATTGCCTCCCCCCTTTTGATGCTCAAAATCTTTCCAAGTCCCCGTCGCCCTCAGAGGTGTTGCTGGGGCTGGGGTGGCTGCGCGGGTGGCTGGACCCCCGGCCACACTGGAGGGGGCTGCCAGGGAAGGAGGGTGGCCCTGCCGGGGAGCTTCATCCCCCAGCTGAAAGGCGAAGTCCTCAGCCCAGCTGGCAAACGGCCGAGGGGTCCCCGGGGGTTTATATCCCCCCTCCTCAGGTGGAGGATCTGGGCTGGTTGCTGGTGCCTCTGGGCGGTGAGGGGCCAGGACTGGACCCCGGGTGTTTATGTGAGCACAAGCAAGGCGAATCCCTCCGTGTTTGTGGGGAGGGATGATATTCCCTGTCTCCCACCTTTTGCTTTTCCTGCTTTGTCCCTGCACCAAAGGTGCAGGAGTTGGTCTCTCCCCACCTGAGCCATGCCCACACCCAGCAGAGGGGGGGTTCAGTGCCCGGGGCTGGGGCACACACCTCTGTCCCCCTGGGACCTGGCACCACGTTTCACATTTTCCTTAAACGTTGGTTGAATTTCCAGGGGACTTGCAGTACATCCCTGCAATCTTTTCCAACAAAACTGAGTTGGGGGCTCTCCACCTTGCAGAGATAAGCTCGGGATTGTGAAGGGACCGTGCTGGGAAGGCTGGTGGCTCCTCAGCGGTGCCGCTCCCTCTGCTCCACATTTGTTGGGTCACCCTCATGCTCCCGAGGACCAGGAGAGCCACTGCCCGGCTGGAGCTCGCTGCCCTCGCCCCGCTGCAGCAAATCGCTGCTGCAAATGGGAACAAGTCCCTCCATCCGCTCTGCTTTTTGTTACTTATGATTTTTTCAAGAAATAAACTTTTGAAGCGCCGGGAAGGGGAACGACGCAATAGCTGGGAGCTCTGTTATGCTGATGGATCTGGTGCATCCCGGTACAGCCCCCCCTTCCTCAGGGATGGAGCTGCCCCCAGCGCATTTCAAATCAGCTCAGCAGCGATGTGCTTTAATGAAAGGTTGTGAGACGATCGATTTGGTATCGATCCCGGGGCGGGTCAGGCACTTCTGGTTTTATGACCTTGTTGTGCAGAGCTGGCCCGTCTTGAAGGGCACGTTGGGGGAAAATGTTCAAAAACCCAAATAATCTCTGGGAAACATTGCTAAAGGCCAGGAGAGGTGTGATTAAGGAACCGGAGATGAGGTCAAAACCAGCTAGTGGGAGTTTCTGGAAGAACTGATTCAAAGGTTTGGTGATTAAAAAGTGAAAATAATTTCAGATTTTGAAATACTTTAAATGTCTTATTTTTACAGATTTAGCCCATGATAATAGAGGGAATGATGCACCTTGCTTGCAGGGAATTCAGTACTGTCGGTGGTTCCCCCATCAGCAGCTTCTGATTCCCAGAGCAAAGGGATGCTCTTGCCTCACTCACGCTTCCTTCTTGAAAAAAGCAGCTTCGGGGGGCGAAGGGCAGGGGCCAGGCTGGCCTTGCAAGGCCACGGCTCCTTCCCAGCTGCCCGCCGCCCCTCCTCTGTGCTCCCAAGTGCCCTGAAGTCATCCCCGAGCACTGGGTGGTTTTGGCACTCTGATCTCTGCTAAATAAACCAAAATCAGCAGCAATTCCAGAGCAGCTCTTTAATGGGATGCAGCAGCTGTTGAACAGCGTGGAGCAGCCCCGCACAGCGGCTGGGGGCTGCGAGTAAACCTGATGGAAAGTGCTGGGGCACGGCGGGAGGCAGGATCTGCCCGGGCAAGCTGGAGCTGGGCCAAGGCTGCTCCGAGCAGCACTCTGGTGGCATCAGTGGGGCCTCTCGGATCTCCCCCCAGCGCAGCGCGGTAGCCAGGCAGCTGTGCGCAGCAGGAGGGGACATTTCTGCCCTGTGGTTTTTTGCTCCAGCCCCAGACCTGGCCCCGGGGAGGTGGGCGGAGGGTCCAGCTCCAGACCTGACTGTCAGGGGAGGGCAGCATGGAGGGGGGAGCGTGCTGAGCCCCTCGGCCTGGGAGACCTGCGGCTGCTCCGCCAGCAAAGCCCTGGGGATGGGAGATGCGTGACCTGCTCGCAGGGAGCTCTCGAGCAGATGTAGCCACGTTGCCTCCTGCTGTGCTCAGGCTGCTTTGCTGGTGTCTGAAACACCCAAAGCCGGAGTCCCTCCAGGAGGAGATGCTGGTGCAGCATCCCCCAGGAGATACCGGGGTTGTGAGGAGTTCCTGGAGGAGGGCAGCCCGGCAGTGAGAGCCTTCCTAACGTCAGAGGGAGGTGGGTGCTGTGGGCAGGTGGGTGCTGTGGGGAGGTGGGTGCTGTGGGGAGGTGGGTGCTGTGGGCAGGCAGCAGCTGATGGGGCTCTGTCTCCCCTGCTGCTCGCAGCAGACGCGGTGTGTACAGCAGCAAGCACACAAGGATGAGATGGACAGTGATGCTTTTGGGGTTCAGCACCCAGCTTTCTGCAAAAGGGGAGGCTACTGTGTGGGGAGAGGCATGGCTCTGCAGTGACAACGTTCATGGTGTCACGTCTGAAGAAGAGAAGGCTGAGGGGAGGAGAACTCATCACTCTACAACTCCTGAGAGGACATTGCAGAGGCTGGGGCTGGGCTCTGCTCCCAGGGCATCAGGGACAGGACAAGAGGGAACGGCTGGAAACTGCCCCAGGGGAGGGTCAGGCTGGGCAGGAGGAAAAAACATTTTCCCAGCAAGAGTGGTCTGAGAGTGGAACAGGCTGCCCGGGGAGGGGGGAGTGCCCATCCCTGGGGGGGGTTTAAGGGCCGTTTGGATGAGCTGTGGGGGGATGTGGGGTAGGGGAGAACTTTGTAGAGTCGGGCTGAGGGTTGGACTCAATGATCCCGAGGGGCTTTTCCAACCTGAGTGATTCTGGGATTCTGTGATCTGGTGGCAGCTGTCCTCAGTGAAGGGACGTGCCCAGGATCTGTCCCCCGCTCCAGCCTAGAGGATGCCCGACTCGGTCACCACCTCCTCGCAGGGCGCGTCGAAGTCCTTGGTGCTGCCCCTGTGCAGGGGGAGGCCGGGGGGGCTGCTGTGGTGGCTGTGGCTCAGGATGGTGGTTTTCCTGCTGCAGAGGCTCCCGGTCGAGGCCTGTCTCCGCAGCCCGGGCCGGGGGCTGCCCCAGCAGGACAGGCAGCGTGCTGCGTCCTGGAGCAGGTGCCCGCTGAAGAACATGTAAATCCAGGGGTTGCAGCAGCTGCTGAGGCTGGCCAGCAGCATGGTGATGGTGAAAGCCACGTTGGTGGACTCTGGGAAGGCAAGGGAGAGAGCTGAAACATCCCCCGGGCTGGGCAGGGGCTGGGCAGGGTCTCAGTGTGTGATGGGCAGGACCTCGGGGGCTCTTTTTGTCTTGGGCACGTGTCCTTTGTCCCATTCCCACCCCATCTGACGGGAATTTCTTTGGGCCAGAGTCCGCAGGTGGGTGACGTACTGTGGTGGGGATGTGCTGGGGCCCGTCCTCAGGGAGGATGCTGCGAGACGAGACCCAGCAGCTGCTGGACCTTCCTTCAGCCTGTTTGCTGGTCAAAGCATCACCCAGAGGCCTTTCAATCTTGGGTGAGGGTCCTTCTACCCACGGAAAGACTGAAAATTTCCAGAAAAAGTCAACCTATGAAATTGGAAATTTGAAGCCCCTGCAGCTGGCTCAGGAAGAGCCTTGCGGGTGCTCGATGTGACACGTGCAGGACCTGCCCCAGCCCGAGCCACAGCACAGATAAAACCCTCCCTGCAGCCACGTACCGAGCACGGCAGCTCCTGGAGAAAATTCCCACATGAGGGATGAACCACACTTGGCAAAGATGGTCACACCATGCCTTTACACGTCCCGGTGGTGGTGGTCAGAAACCACTGCTTCAGTGGTTTTACTGGTGAAAGGAGTGACTTGACTCTGCAGTTTTCTATAAATGTTACTGGGGAGCAAATCTGTAGCCCCTTCCCACACGACTTTTAAAATGACAAAATAACAGACAGCTTTTGCTTGTTAAAAAAGCAATGGGCACGCTGCGTGCCTCGGGCACCCAGGGCTCTGCGCCTGCTCCAGGCTGCAGCCCAGCATCCCCACCCCTTACTCACCGTCGCTGGGAGCATCCTTGTCCCACACCGACCACATCTGCACGCTGAAAAACGGTGCCCAGCAGGCGACATAGGCCACCACGATGACAAAAGTCATCTTCACCGTGCGGATCTTGGCACGGGAGATGGTGCGCACGCTGCTCACCCGCGAGGGCTGCCCGCTGGGGCATTGCCCGCTCTTCTCAGAGGAGCAGGGAGCAGGAGGGGCAGATGCTGTGGGCCCCCCCATGCCGGGGGCACCGCTCTGGGTCTTGCCCTTGAGGTTCTTGCAGATCTCGTAGCAGATGAGGCTGTAGCAGACGGTGAGGATGCCGACGGGCAGGATGAAGATGCACAGTGTGGTCCAGGTGATGTAGGCTCGGGCTCCCCACGGGTACCTGAAGTCCGCCCAGCAGTCCAGCACCCCCGAGCCCTGGCGCACCTCCCGCAGGGAGAAGATGAAGATCTGGGGCAGGCTGAGCAGAAGGCTGAGCAGCCACGTGGCCCCGATCATGGCGTAGGCCTGGCGGCTGGGCTGCTGCAGGCTCTGCAGGGGGTGGCACACGGCCAGGTAACGGTCCAGCGTCATCATGATGAGCATGTAGGTGGAGGCGAACATGCTCAGCACCTGCAGGTATTTGACCGCCCGGCAGAGCGGGTCCGGCCCCAAGAAGCGGTACGTCACCTCCCAGATCATCTGCGGCAGCACCTGGAAGAGCGCAACGCCCAGGTCGGTCAGGCCCAGGTGCAGGATGAAGAGATGCATGCGGCTCCTCTTCTTCCTCAGGCGGTACATCGCCAGCAGCACCCCCGCGTTGCCTGTGGTGGCGACAGCCAGGATGGCGGCCAGCACCCCGATCTCTGCCTTGGCCAGCTCCTCATCCCGGGTGTGCAGGAGGGTCAGGTTG